CCTCCCACTTTAACACCTGCAGCACTGACAGGGGTAAAAGCACCATTCCCCAGGCCAGGCTGACCATCACGGGCGACCAGGTGAAGAGGGAATTGAAGAGGCTTGTAGCGGCAAGGCTTATTAAAATACAGGTATTAAGTTTCCTGCTCCCTTGCCAGTCTCTCTCTCCTTCATCTCAGTGGTGCCTGATACAGTTCACAATTAAGGTGCTTCCCTAGCTGATGGAGTGTCCTGATAAGGAACAGCTCCCCAATTCCTGAGATTCTCCAGCAACCTTAATAATCTCAATTCTGGTGCCTAAAAGTCTGAGATTCCAAGGGAGTCTAATTCAAAGTTTGTTTACGACCCTAAGGTCAGAGGGCATGGTTATTCATCATCAGCCAATCAGGAACTGGCTGGGCAGGTTAACCCCACGTGGGTCTCTGATGCCCATGAAACTTTCAACCAATGAACAACCTGCAGTTCCTCTAGGTAAAAACAGGCAACACAGAGAGTCGAAGAACAATTCCGGGGCAGAACAGTTGGGAAGCGCAGAATAGTCCCAAAGGGAACAGTTCCCAAGCGCAGGACACTCTCGCAGCGCGTCTGGTGGACATTCAGCCTTAGGGCTCCTCTTGAACATCCTCAGACTCAGCCCGGACCACCATGTAATGGCCAGTGTGTCTGAGTGCAGGACTTTCCTTTGTTCTAAGAGTTGAGGACAGAGGTAGCCAGCGCGTAACCAAAGGATCCACCCGAGGTTAGCATCAGCAGCAAGCCTCGTGAACAAGTAGGAACTGTGGACAGCTAAGGATTCAGGACTAGTGCTTCATCAGGAACGAACCGGTATTCTTCCTGACCTGCTGGGACCCGCAGTCACCTTTCTCCTGTGCACAACCTCTGCTAGTAAGCCAGAACTAACTAGCTGATTTTCAGAGAGCCCACTGCTAGAGCACCGCTTCACAGGAATCTCTCTCACCACGTCGCAAGCAGCATGGCCTGACACCGAGCCAGAGAGCGCCAATTGGACACAGCAACAAAGCTGCCACTGCTTCTTTGTGTCGAGCAGGAGATCTGAATCCCCAGAGAATTGGATGAGTATTCAACTGTAGCGGCGAAGCTTATTAATAAGAAATAATAAAGTGTTCTGAGCCTTCCCAAATGAGTCCCCATTTCTCTGTTCATCTCTGTGGTGCAGCCACAGAGAAACTATTCATGCAGGCTGATTTAAGATGTTTTCTTTTGTTAAGAAACAAGCTCCCAAAGGGGGGTGCACTTAGCTAAGCCTGGCTATCATGATCAATGGTCATCCATTGGTGTCTATCTGTCTAGGGAGTGCCAG